TGGGACAGAAGTGGTTGACTGGGAGTCCCCAGAAATACTACTTTGGGGAGAGAAGCCCCCCAATGGAGCCAGGCCCCCGGGGGGTCTCTATTGGAGTGGGTGGTCACCACGGAGGCGTCGACAGTGGGCAGTGGAGGGTAGGGGCCTGAGGCCGAGCCCCAGTCCTCCAGGACACTCCTTGGGGACCTGGGCTGCCACGTCTGCCCCCAGAAGCCTCCGTTTTCTCATCTATCTGCAAAGTGGGGGTGTTGATGGTGCCCAACTCTTAGAGGTCCCGTGGAGAGTAAGATAAAATGTGAGGCTTTAAATCTGCTGAATATACTGACATCTCCTTGGAGGCCTCCAGAGAAGAGAGCCCTGGATGGGGGGACCTGGTGGTGGCCTGGCCGCTGCAGGAGACCCACTGCCGACTCCGGGGTCATGCTGGGAGCTGGGAGCATCCTGGCTGTGGTGGGGCAGTGGGGAGAGCTGCCCGGAAGCAATTTGCTTGTTGGAGGAAGTCTCCCCTCTCCTGTCAAGGGCAGGTGCAGATGCCCCGTCTTCAGGGAGCCCCCCCTCACTGCTCAGCCCCTCCAGTGACCAAGCACCTCCCTCAACAGCAGGCACGAGGCTGATTTCCCTGCATCCCCAAGGCCAGCATGGAGGGGCACCGGGACCACGTGCTCAACGTCGAAAATAATCAGAGCTACCCTAGGATGAACTGTGCTGTTCAGCAGTGAGTTCCCCGTTGTCGGGGTGTGCAAGCAGAGGCTGGGGGTGGGCCTGAGGGGACATCGCAAAGCGGACTCATTCAGCTGAGATACAAGTTAAGAGTAATCATGATGATTATATCAATTATAATGTACCGAGAGCTTGCTAAGCGCCAGCAGCGGGAAGATCTTCGTTCTCTTTTGTTAGATTTTTTTTATTTGCCAAAGTAACTCAAGCTCTCAGAACAAGTTAAACAATACAGAGATATATAAAGAAAAATCTAACATCAGCCCTCCTCCGAGGCCTCCTTCCCTCCCACAAGCCAGGTACCCCAGGCTGACAGGCGAAGGTGTTATCTTTCCAGGCACCCGACATAGAGAATCCCACTTAATTCTTCAGATGCTATTAGGAAGCTCAGAGAGGGGAAGCCATTTGCCCAAAGCCCCCCAGCTGCTTAGAGGTTGCAGGCCAAGCAGGTTTCAGTTGCGTCTCCAAGCTCTCCTAGGAGCCCTGAGGCCCCCAGCTCAGCCTGGTTCTCTCTCTTCTCCTGGTGGCACCTGCCGGCCTGCAGGGGACACAGACCCGCCCCCCAAGATGCCCTGCGACTCCTGGACCAGCCCAGCCCAGCCACAGCTGACCAGCCCATGTGCCCACAGACCAGCCCCCACCTTCCAACTTGGCTTTGGCAGGGCTGGCATTTTGATCTCCTTCTGTTGGACTCCCTGGCTCCAAAAGGGCCCTCCGAGATTCAGGGTGCCTGCGAGGGCCCAGTGAGACCACTGAGTCCTGTCCCTCAACTCACAGGCAGGGCAACTGAGGCTCAGGAAGGGCGGGGGACTTGTAACATCACACGAGAACTCGATGGCTGAGACGGGGCTGTGGTGATGGCAATCCCTTGTGTTTAACTTGATAATTTACGAAGTTCCATTTTATCTACTGCATTCATTCACTCATTCATTCATTCATTCATCCCCAAACACCCACGGGGTCTGTATTCATTTCCCGCTGTTGCTCTAACAAATGATCACAAACTTAAGAGCTTATAGCAACAAATTTATTACCTTACAGTTCTGGAGTCCACAAGGGTAAAATGGCCTGGCAGGCCCGGTTCTCCTTGGAGTCTCTAGGGAGAATTTGTTTGTCTTTTCCGGCTTCTCGAAGCGCCCGCATTCCTGAGCTTGTGGCCCCTTCTCACGTCACTCTGCTCTCTGCTTCTGCCATCACCTATCCTCTAACTTTGACCCCCTTGCCCCTCTCTTTCACTTAGAAGGACCCTCGTGATTATGTGATTACACATAGGCTTCACTCAGATAATCTAGGATAATCCCCCATCTCAAAGTCCTTAGCTTAATCTTATCAGCAGAATCCCTTCTGCCATGTAAGGTCACTTAGCCACAGGTCCTGGAGATTAGGGCGTGGATGTCTTTGGGTGTGCTATTTTACCTACTGTAGACTTACAGGGTGATTCTCAAAGGAGGCAGGATAGGGCTGTGGACAGCAAATGAGCTAGGATGCGTTCAGTTGCAAGTTATAGAATCTTCCTCCCAAAGGGCCTTAAACAGTGAGGGCACTTAGTGTCTCCCTTGGCAGGAAATCTGGCCAAAGGCTGGCTCCATGGTGGGTTCATTTGGAGGCTCAAGAACAACAGCATTAGGGACACAGACGCTTTCCTGCTGTGGCTGTCATCTTCATCATCAGCTCCTCCTGGTCCCAAGAGAGCTGCTGCAGCTCCGGGCATCACGTCCTCACACTTGCATGACTGAACAGGAAGGCAGGCAGTGAGTCTTCTTGTACATTTCTCACTTGACATCAGGGAGGTCTTATTGGCTGAGACTGGGTCATGTGACCTCTCTCCTCCAGCCACAGGAGAAATGGAAATGGGTCTGTCAAAACAGTCTTAGTGGCATCACCATTTTCCCCCCCCAAATGGGAAGGAGGGTCCCCCTTTCCCGGGCACATCACTGTTCCTCCACCAGAACAAACTAGGTATGCAGGTGTATTAGTTATCTAGGCTGCGAAACAAAGTACCACAAATTTACCAGCTTAAAACAACACATTTATTACCTCAGTTTCCATGGGCCAGGAGTCCTGGTGTAGGCTAGCTGACTCTCCTGCTCATGGTCTGGAAGCTGAAATTAAGGTGTCAGCTAAGGCCATGTTCTCAGCTGAGGCCCAGGGAGCCCCCTCCAGGCTCACACGGCTGTCGGGAGAATTCAGTTCCCTGAGGCTGAGTGGCTGAGGTGCGTTTTCTTGCTGTATGCCAGGGACCACTTGGCCCCTAAAGGCCATATTCAGCCCCGGGGCTGCCTCTCACATCATTGCTTCATCTTTGTGGCCAGCAGGAGAGCACCTCTGATGCTTCATCCCCTTGTAAAGGCTTCACCTGATCAGGTCAGGCCCAGCCAGGAGAATCTGCTTTGATTAACTCAAAAGTCAAACGGTTAGGGGCTTAGTCAGGGCAGCGGTGCCCCTCCCAATTCACAGGCCTGGGTCCCTGCGGGCCATCTGAGAAGCCTGCGCACCTCAGGGGCGAGGAGGGAGTGACTGCCTACTCACCCTGCAGTCTGAGCTGAGCCCCTGCTCCTTCCAGAAAGTCCTCCCCGAACCCCCCGGCAGCACCCCTCGGGCCCCACCAGGTGTTTCTTGGTCTCCCGGCCCCGACCTCCCTCGTGCCTTTGGCTGGGCCTGAGGGGTGCCGTACTCTCCACAGACAACGGGCACTGTCCACACCTGACACAGAGCAGGTGCTCAGTAGATGCCCCGCCGGATGAACGTGGGGTCGCCACGTTACTGGGAGAGCCCTGAAGCTTGGGAAAGCGATGGGGGGCAGGCCTAGAATTCTGGGTCCAGGAGGGCAGGGAAGGTCCTCCAGAGGGGTGGACGGGGCCATCAGGCCCTCCAACGCTCCCCCTTTGGGCCTCTGCCTAACGGTCACTCCCAAGAGCCCTTCCAAGGCCCCCCCCCACTGACTGAAGCCAGAGGCTGGGGAGACGGGAGGCAAGGGCGAGAGGGTGGCAGGCAGCGTGGCGACAGTGGGATGGGGACCGCACTGCCCCAGGCTCACTCCACACATGATCTCGAGAACCTGGGCCTCCACCCTCATCTGCAGAACGGGATGGCCATACAGCACACACCCTGAAGGGACGCCAAGAGGGTGAGGTGGGCCCACCTCCCACGGACTGCTCAGGTCAGGACACGGCCTAAGGGTGGCTCCCACGAGCACTGCTGATGGGCAGGGGCCAAGCGACAGGAGGGTGGCCGGAATGGAAGCTGCATCGTGACGCTTCCCGGGGTAGTGACTTCAGGAGACGCTAAGGGCTCTCGTGGCTGCTGCAGACCATGGAACCCTGTGGGGCATTCCTAGGAGGAGCCCGGTGCCGAGGGGCATGGAGCTGTGTCTCCCACCTGCTCAGGTGGGTGACAGGCAGAGGCAGGAGCAGGTGTTCTAGGCCCAGAGGTGGGAGAATGCCTGGGCACACAGGGCTGAAAGCTCTGCGCACATCATTCCAGAGAACCTGCACATCTGCCGTACAGGAGGGGCTCCGTCATCCCCATTCACGGGCTCGGATAGGGAAGGTCACGTAGGGACACCTGATTGGTCTGAGCCCAGAGTCCAGGGTCGAGGCCAGGCTTAGGAGGGCCTTGAATGCCAGGCTCAGGCATCTGGGCAGCAGCAAGGGCCCGGAGGGAGGATGGGTCCGGCTTGGAGCGGCTGGCAGAGGGGAGCTCTGAGGAGGCTACATGGCAGCCAGGACGGGTGATGGGTGGGTGCAAGCTTGAACCCCAACAGGCCCCAGACTGAGCGAGGTACACAGCTGGTGCTCAGAAAGACAGGCTGACCCACTGCTTCAATCCATTACACCCACTGCAAGTCAAAGACAGTCCCCAAAGCAATTCTTTCCCCAGAGTTCCTCCAGCTCGGGAAGAACTCAGCAGTGCCAAGTGCATCAGTGTGATCAATACTGCAGTGGAGTCAGTACACAGAGAGCCAGGCTCCACGGGCGGATCCCAGCCATTTTCTGACAAGACCAAGCGGTTCTGGAATTCTTCAGAGAGGGACAGGGAGAGAGGCAAGCCTCATTTTTTCCTGCCTCAGCTTTAAAAATGAAATTTCAAATAAAGTGGGGCAAAAAGTATCCTCAGCCCAGTTGAGGAGAAAACAAGTCCCTGGGTCCGAGACTGGGCGCCAGTCCTCCTCTGTTCCGCACCAGCCAGCTGAGTGGAAGGGCTCTTTCCCTTCCCCGCCGGTGGCCCCCCGGGGCCA